CCTAGGTTTCACTTACAGAAGCGGAAGAGTGCAGAATACCACAAAATTTTTCCACCTAATTCAGCCCTAACAAACATTAAAACTGAAGGCATATCGGCCAATTTTGTAATGAAATGGGGTTCACCTACTGATTTTCTAAGAGTGTTTTTAAAAGCTGAAGTGGTGTGTGACCCCTGAGAGTGCGGAGTTTGGAGGTGAGGGAGAGGCCTGCCTGGATTCTGAACTTGGTTCTGCTGTGAGTTAGTGGTGACCCTTGATCCTTTGAATACAAAACCTCAGGGTGGACACATTTCTTCTGAGTCTCTGTCTGCTGGGGAGGGGAGGGGAGGGGAGGGGAGGGAGAGGGACTGGGGTGTGGAGCTGCCCTGGTGCTACGCCCACACTGGCACATACATCACTGCATCTGTCCTCCAGCCACCTGGGAGGTAACCTCCTGGCACTTCATGTCTGCAGGTGAATCACCCAGGCTCAGGGAGGCTCAGTTCCACACTCTGCTCACCCAGAACTGTAAGAAAAGGCAATACTTATTCAATACGTTTTAGTAAATGTTACCTGTCAAGCATACCAGAGTCCCCCTTTGTTTTAAAAGAACCACCTAAATGATGGATATGTCAACTAGGGCACTGTCTTAAGACCTCTGTGTAGGCAGATGGTCCAGGTTCCTCCTCAAAGCCACAGCCTCCTTTTAGAAGATCAGCTGATCAGAAACGTTTCTGTTGTCTCTCCCTAAGGAATGAAGGGATGGGGACAGAAGGGGGTGGGGGGAGGAGACGTGGAGAGAAAATAGGTTGGAAATGTAAATCCTATAAAATTTAGTGAAGTTGGTCTACAGTGCTTTGTTAAGAAAGGCAAAAATGTTTGGGAGGGGCAGCCCTGTGCCCCATAACTGCTGCAGGCGGAGACCCACATGGATGGGAGCTGCTTTATCTTCCACACGACAGTTATCAAGCTCACATTACATAGTAAGAGGAGGATCTTTTTATTCAAAAGTAATACCTTACAGTGGCTAAACTAAATCAATTAATGTCCAACAAAAGCTTTGCAACACTCTCCATGTCAGGAAGGCCAACGGCATTTCTCTAACTCTTCCATGTGTGTCTTTCTTCATTTACACGTATGTCATCTCATCTTTTTAAGCTGTGGATAGTAGGCTACTATTATTTCCATTTTACTAATTCATACAGAGAACATAGTCAGGGTTACCTGAAACCCAGCCTTCCTGCTCCCATCCCTCAGCCCTTCCAGTGAAGCAAAGCTGTGGCTTATCAGTCCTTTCCTTTCATATCAAATTTGCTTTCACCTGACTTCAAAATCTAGACACATAAAATTTTGTTAAACATGTGGAAATTTCCTCTTTTTTTTTATTATTAGAGGCCCGGTGCACAAAATTCATGCACAGGTACAGTCCCTAGGCCTGGCCTACAATCAGGGCCATCTTCCCTAGCTGCCTGCAGCCAGCCCCTCCCCCTGCCGCCCCCCGCCCCCAGTTCCCTGCTCCCCATCAAGTGATCGAGTGATTGGAGCCTGCCAGCCAGGAGGAGGAACCAAGACGTTGGCCATTCCTGTCCGCTTGCCAGCCCCACCCCCGTTGTGGGTTGCCCTCTGTGTGTGGGGTGACCAGTGGGGTAGGGACCTTGGCCTGGCACCACCCGCATCCCCCACCATCCACCCCCGGTTCCCCGCTCGCCATCAGGCGATTGGAGCCTGCCGGCTGGGGAAAAGGCCAGAAAGGTGATCAGTGCGCCTCATAGTGACTGGTTGAGCTGTCATTCTGGTCGTTCCACCATTAGGGTCAATTTGCATATTATCCTTTTATTACATAGGATTTTTTTCCCAATGAAAGAACGCCCACTCTATTCCCTGGGTCCCAGAGAGGGTAATAATGCCCTAGGACCAAGTTCTCTCTTTCCCCCAAGCAGCTGCCTCTTAGGCCCAAACTGCCTGCTAGCTGGGACCATAGAAGAGCATGTTCCTGGCCGATTTTCTGCTCTGCTTGCCTCTTTGAAACAGGACACCGGAACCCATGTAGGCCCTCAGGACAGGTGAGCCAGTGCTACCTCTTCCCAGAGACCTGGTGGTGACTTCCTGGTTAGCAGAGGAAAAGGGATTGGCCACAGGCCTGTCAGTCTGGTCGATACGGAGCAGAAGGTATGCTTTGCTGAAGAGTTCGAAACAACAGCTCGTCCACACCCCCTGACCCAGGAGCCTTTGGGCCCTCGGCCATTCGGGTCACTGTCTCCTGATAGGCAGAAGCAGCCCAGAGTTTTATGTGATCAGTCTAGTCTCCCAGCCCGAGGTGGAGAGGAATGGCATACATTTGTATTTATATGTACTCTGTGTGTGTGCATACTTTTTAAAAGAAATAGAACGAGCAGCCCTTGCTATAGGAAGAATGCATCAGATGTCGAGATCTATTTTGGTGGTGGATTGCAGTAAAAATAATACGAATTGTGGTCATAACTCCCAGTAATCCATCTTTAAAAATTCAAAATAGCAGCATCTATAGATGGCAGAAATTCTACTTAATCATCTGAGTGAATCCTCTGGCAGTTTGGGGGGTGGGGCATGGTGATGACTTTTATTTATTATTTGTGTTTATTGAGGTATAGTTGACATATATCCTGTGGCTCTTCAGTCAGCTAAGCAACAGTGTTAGACAAACCCTTCTGACCTGTCATATTCTTAGGCATTGGGAGGAGGATTACACATGAAATTGTTAGAGCCCAGAGAGACCTTGGAGATCACCCAGTAACGCCCCTGATCTTACACATGAGGAAACTGAGGCCCAAAGAAGTTCAGCAACTTGTCTAAGACGAATGGCCTCGCCTGGCCTGGCGTCAGGGTTGTGCACTCCTCTCTGCATTGAGCTCTGTTTGCCTGGCATTGCCGTGTGACCCCCAGATGCTGTGGTCGGGCTCCTCGGGCAGTTTCTTACCTGTCTTTCCTATGCCTGTTGAGAACACCCAGGTCCGCTGGCCTCCGGAAGTGGCCGCCGAGCGGGCTTGTCTCCATGCACTGTGCACTTTCTTCCGTCGGCTCGTGTTCTGGAGACATGGGGATGACCAAGTGGCTGTACTTGTTTGCTTGCCTCCCTCCCAGAAGGAAGGAGAAAACTGACGAACACCAGCCTTCTCGTAGTCTCACCGATACACTCAGTGGGGGTGTCCTACTCGGGAAAACTATAAACCAGGAGCCCCTTAATAGTTCCAAGTGTCCTTGAAAAATCAGCCCTGGACATACCTTTCTCGCCCCTAGCCACTGTCTGCCAGCTGTTGCTGCCTTTGTTCTGTACCCCCCAACCCCTTTTGGAAAATCAAGGATTTAGCAGGAAAACCCAGGGGAGTTAAAGGGGATGCACATAGTCCTGAAAACACTTCTTTTACTTTGAAATGTATAGTCTGACCCACCCAGAATGTCCCAGAAAGCCCTGGTCTGCAGCTAGGATCCTATCCCAGATGGGTAACTTGATTTAAGCAAATTGCCTTCTTACCTGGCTTAGCCTCTTGGTTTTTTTCCCTCCCTCTTTGAGCTTCCCCTGGTCAAAGAGGTTCACCTTCCAAATGAAGGAGGCTCGTTCCCAGACCCAGGGCAGGCGAACAAATGCACGTGCTTCTTCAAGAACCTCCCGGTCAACGCAAGGGCCCTCCGTAGGTCAGGGAAGAATAGCCAACTTCCCACGAGTAAGAAGTCCTATTGTACAAAATATGCCCATAACCTAGGAGGGAGCCAGCCACAGCTTTAACTTTAGGCATTGATCTTCTACTCCCCGTTCTCCATTCAGACCAATTCCTGCCCACACAGGTAGCACTGACCCTGGGGAACAGGCGGCCTCCACCCAGTGTCTTTTGTACTTCAGATTTTGACTTACTGGCAAGACAGCATAACATTGAAGTCAGTTCTTCAGAAGAAAGGTCTATCAACTTTTGAAGCTCCGTGGTTTTCCTCTTATTTGTTAAATTAAATTCTGGAGAATTATCTGAATTCTCAAAGTACAACTTACGTCTGCAGAGTTCAGACGCTGGAAGCTGACAGTGTTTAAAGGAGTTTATCAGATGTTCACTGATAAGTTTGAGCCTCTTTCTTTCTTCCTCTGGGCCTCGGTCTGGGTTGTCTACCCATCTAGAATGTCCTTCCTCAGGGACGCTTCCTGGCCGTGCCCTGCCCATGTCACCTTCTGTGAACCCACATCCCACAAAGCACCCAGCCCAAACCCAAAAACCCTTCAGGGAAGGGATGGGTATTGGTACTACCAGAGTGGATTTGGTCAGGCTGATGGGGGCTCTGTTCAGTGTTTCTAAGGTTAGCAGTGCCCACCCTTTCATCTCAGTACCCTGAACTCTCGTTTCCACCTCCCTTCCCTTCCCACTCTCCTGTTCTTTCTCTGTTCTCCTTATCAAGGTCTTGTCTCGGCTTACTGCCCTGTTAGAGGGTCACACAAGCTTGTTAATTACTCAAAACATGTGAGTTTTTACAGTAATCATTGGAAATTTATTTTTTAAAGTGCTTTTTAAAAAGACAAGCAGGGTGCCCTAGCCAGTTTGGCTCAGTGGGTAGAGTGTTGGCCTGCGGACTGAAGGGTCCCAGGTTCGATTCCAGCCAAGGGCACATGCCTGGGTTGCAGGCTCGATCCTCAGTAGGGGGCATGCTGGAGGCAGCTGATCAATGATTCTCTTTCATCATTGATGTTTCTCTCTCTCCTTTCCTCTCTGAAATCAATAAAGAAATAAAAAAATATATATGATCAATTTTTTAAAAAAGACAAGCAGGGCCACTATCGCCTCTGTTTTTCCACATCATGCTGGAAGCCCTGGCAAAAATTGCAATAAAATAAGAAAAAGAAGGTATAAAAACTGGAAAAGAGGCCAGACTATCTTTTGTGGGTAACACGATTTACTGAGAAAAACCCAAAGTCACTATGTAAACGTGAACTTCTATAAGGAGTTAAGCAAGGTGACCAGATACCGGACCAACAGAATTAATAACTTTTCTGTAATCGGCAGTAACAGTTTAAAAAATGGGGATGTTTAATCTCATTTCATTTTTGTAATAACTCTGAGGACAATTTCAGCTCCATTTTTGCAGATAATGAAAACTGGAGTTAGACGTTAACTTGACCAAAATCATGCCATTTATAATTAGCAGAGAATGATTCAAATCCAGTCTGCCGGAGCTGAGACCCTGATATTTAACATTATAATATCCCATCACCTTTCTTTTCTTCGGCCCTCATGTTACGTTGCAAACTTGTTCCTTGGACATCGTTTTCATCATGGGCACTGACACTGAGTCAGTCAAACTCGGAGGCGGTTGTGGAGGAGACCCGGGCAAGTGCAGTGGCTCGGGGAAGCCTGGCGCTGAAGCTGTCCCTCTTAGGGGGGCTGAGGGCCTCTGCTGTTGTTCTTCCCCAGTTCAAGCCTGCAACAGTTGAGAGACACCCTCCGGAGAGCAGGGCGAGTTTAAAACGCAGCCGCAGTCTTTCCGAGTCGAAGGAGAAGCTGTCAGATGGGTAGGTGTCATGAGCATGTGCACACAAGTAACAGTGACATTCGCGAATCTTGCTTGTGGATGCGTGCGCGTGCGCCCAGCTTCGGTGGCTGCTGCCCTCCGGCTGTGAGTGGAAACCACGAGCAGTTAGGTCAGCGGTGCATGTGGGCAGGAGGTATTTCCCCCTCGCTGTTCTTGGAGATGCCCTGATAGGACATTCCTCTTGTCGGCAGGTCACACCGCTTGCACGATCTGTCTGATAGTATAGATTTGACACAACCTTGGCTTCCCGTGGAGCCTCTCTGGCAGGCTCTCCTCTCCAGAGTCCAGACCCACACCGAGCAGTTTGGCAGGGGAGGCTGTGCGCTGGGCCAGGCCGTACCCTCGGCAGGGCCCTCGGGAAGCGGTGAGCCGTGGGCATACCTCAAAGTTTGCTGGCTTTCCTGCTCCTTTGTACAAACCCGTCACTCGGTTAGGAGACCTTGAAAGGCCTTCCTCGGCCTCACGTTTGGGAAGCTTTGCACTTGACCGTGCAGGGGGGAAGGGCTGTTTGGGCCTAGGGAGGTCAGGCGGGGGCATTTCTGATTGGCTCACGAATACCGGGAAAACTGGGTGTGCCCCATTGCTCAGAATGACTTCCTCCACATTGTTAACCTGGCCCTGGGGTGGATGAGGGTACCAGCTGACTAACACAGAGGTGAGCGCGAGGTGTTAACTGGTTCCCGAGACCTCAGTGCTGAGTGCATGTTACCGGGTTCAGCACTCGGGTAGCTTCTAACCTCAGAGATGACCGTCATGTGGGTGTTGGATAAGAATTTAACCCCTGAGATCTGAGTCATACTGAGGGCCCTTATCTGCTTATTCAGGAAGTACTTACCGAGATCTTTGGGAACCTTTGTATCGTGTGACGCCATCCCCTTATCTCCTGGGTTCTGTCACGCAGGGTGCACCTTCTGACGTGAGGTTGTACTTTCGTTGGGGTGAACACAGTTCCTCTCAGAGGCGGCGTTGGAATGGGCTCACCTGCGTGTGAGAAGCAGGGTGAGGGGTACTGAACTCCAGGGGGCTTGATGGTCAGGGTGCCCACATCTGGGTTAGCCACTGCCGGTCAGCAGCTCCTGCCTCTGTTTTCCTCTGTGCCATGTGGAGACGATATTTTACCTGCGATGGTTCACGTGTACCCAGCCCCTGGCACATGGTACCCACTCTCATAACGCGGGAGTCCTGGGCTTTGTTGTCGGATCGACAGCAGAGTGGGTGAGAGCTGGACAACAAGCAGAGTGTGGAAGAAAGGGAAAAATTCTTGCGTGTCAGCTTGGTCTCTTGCAGTTACTGATATTTAATAGTAATTCTTTCCTATCTGAGTTCTGAACCAATTGGGGGGACCCTTTATGGTCCGGGCTGACATCGGCAGGAAGCGGGTGTCTCAGGACCCGCCCCGCCAGGCACAGGGGTGCTGGGTCGGCAGCCTCCCCACGGTGGGCCCCACAGTCCCCAGAATGGCTGCTCGCCAGTTGGGTGGCTTCCAAGAGGCAGAGGAGGGAGGTAGCAGGCTGCACGCCCAGGTCACCCCACCCGTGTGGCGAGGAGTCAGGGTCACTGAGAGGCCAGGGGAGTGACGCAGGTGGAGCTGCTGCCGCAGAGCTGGGACCGGGAGGGAGGAGAAGTGCGCCCACGTGGTGAGCCCAACACATCTGGCTTAAGTTACCGAACAGTGGGTCAGGATTCAGGCTTGACTGGACCCCAAAGCCCAGATGGTGTCCCTGGGGGTGGCCCTCTCTAGGTTTTGCTTCACTTCATCCAGAAGGTGCTTCCCCAGTGCCCTCACCACCATTCCAGGCTTACGGGACCCGTAGGTCTTAACTTGAGGTAAAAAGTCAGCATCTTTTCTGAACTCTCCATCAAAAATCTTTCTGTACTGCCTGAGAGGACCATGTGTCCACATCTGGATTAGCCACCATGGGTGGAGGGACTGGACACAGGCATCAGCCCTGCATCATTTGGACCAAACCAATAGGAAAAATCCAGGTAGATTGGGTCCCTATAGGGAAGCTGCACATGTCCGCCAAGTTTTAAAAATTAACAGCAGTTTATTGCATAATGGAAATGAGTCTTCTTTTTCCTAAATACCTGTAGTCCCATTTTTCTGAGCATTTACTTCTTTATAAATGGGCAGAGGGGTAAAAATAAGTTATCAGTCCATTTGTTTAAACCCTGCCTTCCCCCAAAAGGATTTGTGACACGAACAAAAGACATGTAGAATAAAAAGATAAGGGGACTATGAAAGCAACAGCCAGCCAAGGAGAGGAAGAAGTTCCTGGATACAAGAAAAACCTTTTCATTTGTTTGGAGGTGGGGAAGGGTCCCCAACGCCATGAAGGTGAAAGGTGGGGTGCCCTGGTTGTAAAGACTTCACAGTCTTTTACGAGCATGTGGGGGGTGGGAGTGGCTGTGGAGGGTGACCATCACCTGGCCCCCTTCGTTGAGTCTTAGTTGGGAGCATGAAGCACCCAGGTGGTAGATATATTGGGAGGCGGTGGGCACCCCCCTGCGCTCTGGCCACAGTCCATCCCAACATCCGCTCACCTTCCCAGACACCATCAGGTAGGCTCCGGGCTGAACTGGATACCGCTGCTGGGGAGACAGCTCTGCCAGCCCCTCCTCACTGATGGCAGCCTTACCCCTCTGCAGTCGTCCATCTTGCTGCCAGTTTAAAGTGGACCCCAAAGATGGCCTGTAAAATGTCTGGAGAGCCAGTACCCATGATACCCCACGGTATCCTTCTCTCTCTCTCAGGCTGGGACTAGCCGCACATGTCAACATTTGGGTTTGATTTTTTTCCGTGTCTGCACCTCCGCTGCTCGCCGGAGTGCCTTGGAACTAGCGCTACAAATGGGACGACCATCCTTGACCAACAGGGCTGCACCCGCGGGAGGCCTGCTGTCGTAAGCCCGGCCCCAAAGCCTGGTCGCTGCTCCCACATTCGAGAAAACAAACCCAGCTTTCCAGGGTCTGGCGGCCACATCATGTTTAGACAATCTCGCCCTTCGGGGGTCCTCCCGCCTCGGGTAGCCCAGCGAGATGCCACAAGGCGGGCAGACGGCATGCGAGGGTTTGGTTGTTTCAAATTAACTCTTGGTTACCTCCCTCTCAACAGACAGCTACAGACAGTTCTTCTAATTCCTCTCAGAAGAGGGAACAACCGACCCGGACAATCTCCTCCCCCACATCCTGTGAGCACCGGAGGATTTACACCCTGGGCCACCTCCACGACCCGTACCCCACGGACCACTACCACCTCGAGCAGGTGAGCGGCAGTCTCCGTCCGGGGGGGTCCTCGGGGTGGGTGTCCCAATGCTGGGAGGCCTCCTTCCTCTCCCCGAGCCCAGGCCCCTTTCCGTGCTACTTTGTGCCACCCCACCCCACATCGCTGGCAGTGGTGGCAGCTCCCCTTGCTAAGAGGTTTCTATGTGCCAGAATCCTTGTACTGTATCTCGTTTAATCCTCACAAATTCCCCCCACAAGGCAGGTCCTCGGCTCCCCACTTTGTAGATGAGGAAGCTAAGGCTTAGAGAGATCGAGTCCCTGGTGGAACAGATTCAAATGCCAGTCTGTGCTCACCCACGCGCTGTGCTGCCCCCTGCAGAGGGCCTCCCGGCCTGGTGTGAAAGCACAAAGCCCCGATCAGGCCTGAAGAACGCTGCACACCTGGCTCACGCCCTGGCCGCTCGGGCTGCAGGCCCAGGCCTGCTCAGGGAGATGGAGTCTGGAATTCAATAATTCAACAAATATTTACCAAGTGGCTGTTTTGCAGAGTAGGTTCCCAACCTGTGGGGCCGGGACTGGTGCCCGTGCAGGGTGATGTGGCCACCGGTCTGCTTTGAAAAGAGAAAAAAGGAGCACAGTTAACATAAAGCTAGGTTTATATGACTCTTTTAAAAAATCTTTTTGTTGTATGCTTTCCAATAGTGTGGCATTAAAAATTTTTTTTTTAATCAAATTATGGTAGCAATCCATAAGAACTGGCTTCTTGGCTCTCCTTACTTTGCAAAATAAAAAATTAGCAAAGCCTGTGACAGCTCCCAAGATCCGTTTTGAAATCCTACAGGATTGTGATTTTTCTGAAGCCCAGGAATCTCTCATGTCAAGACTCTCAGGGAAATAGGGCAAAGGGTGTGAGAGGTAGCCCTGCTCACAGTCTGGTGGGAAGCGATGGGGAAACCCAACTGCCATGTAAAATGCTGTCACTGTGGCAATGGCAGCCGGTATCGAGCACAGCCCGTGTGACAGGCTCAGTGCGAACACTGCGTAGATTCCTCCTCTCCATTCACAACAGCCCTGTGCAGTCTGACAATCAGGGAAACTGAGGTTGAGGCATAGCCACTTGCCGGGAAATTGCACAGCCCGAATTGGACTCCAGTGGGTTTGCTCAGAACCATGCTCTTTCCCCCTTAAAGAGCCTTCATGCCCAAAGGACTTCAAAGGTGGAAAACCAACTACCCGCTAAGAGGACTCTTGGCCCTAAGGGAGAATGCAGTTGGGGTGTGGGGGCTAGAGGGTGTGGCTCTGGGTCTTAGCTGCCTAGGCCCAGGTTCCAGCTCTGTCGCTCACTGTCTGTGCGATCCTGGCGGGATTCGAACACAGGCAGCCGGCCTCCGGAGCCTGCGCTCTTAACCTTCTGTTATCTGGGCATCTTCTCTTCCCAACCAGATTACACGGTTCTTATAGTTCCTGGTAGCCCCCTTTTGCTTTTTTTGAACACAATCCGCAGTGAGAAATGCATTTTATATGGTGACCCATGGCTCACGTATTGTATACACATAGATTATGAAAAGTACTTACCCCTCTAACATGCAGTGTACTCTAGTATTCGTCTATTTCACTGAAGAAGAAGAAGAAGAAAAAAAGCTGACCATACAACAGAGAACATACTGTCCAAAACCAGGCAGAAATCAGGCTAGCAGGCAGCCTCACCTTCTGCTTCTTGACCTGGGTGTGTCCAGCTTCTGAAAATTCAAACTATTCTTACAATGGGCACACTTTCCCACCTAGATGGTAATCAAAACAAGGGGGAGGATAAAAGCTGGTCTCTGCCCATTCAATTGACTCCCGACCCAGGAATGGATTGAGACTCACAGTTTGAAATCCATCTTTGACCCATAAGATGTTCAGTCATTACAGGACGGGTCAGTTTCTTCCAGAAATGCCTTTGCAAGGTGAAAGGTACATGTTGGATTCTTTTTTTTCTCTTTTTTTGCCACTGTTGTAAAATACTGTCTCTTTTCTCCTGGGGCAGCCGATGCCCCGGCCCTACCGCCAGGTGAGCTTCCCGGACGACGACGAGGAGATCGTGCGCATCAACCCCCGGGAGAAGGTCTGGGTGACGGGCTACGAGGACTACCGGCACGCGCCCGTGCGCAAGGCCCTGGACCCCGCCGAGGACGCGGACTCCTACGTGCGCTTCGCCAAGGGCGAGGTCCCCAAGCACGACTATAACTACCCCTACGTGGACTCCTCGGACTTCGGCCTCGGTGAGGACCCCAAAGGGCGCGGGGGCGGCGTGATCAAGACCCAGCCCTCGCGGGGCAAATCCCGGCGGCGGAAGGAGGACGGCGAGCGCTCCCGGTGCGAGTACTGCAGGGACATGTTCAACCACGAGGAGAACCGGAGGGGCCACTGCCAGGACGCGCCCGACTCCGTGAGAACTTGCATCCGCCGGGTGAGCTGTATGTGGTGTGCGGACAGCCTGCTCTATCACTGTATGTCGGACCCCGAGGGCGACTATACAGACCCCTGCTCGTGCGACACTAGCGACGAGAAGTTTTGCCTCCGGTGGATGGCTCTTATTGCCTTGTCTTTCTTGGCCCCCTGTATGTGCTGTTACCTGCCCCTTCGGGCCTGCTACCACTGCGGGGTGATGTGCAGGTGCTGCGGGGGCAAGCACAAGGCGGCCGTGTGACTCTGCCCCTCCCTCCCCTCCGTCCACAGCCACCAGGGAACTTGTCTCCCACACACTCGCATCCTCTCCCCTGCTCCCTGGGGCGCCATTCCAGCCTGGGGAGCCCTCCGGTGGACTCTGCACCTCCCAGCCACTCATCCATCCCTGCACAGTGTTCTAAAGAAAGGACCCCCCTCCCCCCCGCAGAGACTCGTGTATTAATAATCTGTAATCAAGCTAACTGTCTTATACCTGTGTTGATTTCCTGCCCACCTCTTCCAGTTCAAAGGCACCTGCAGGCGGAACTGTTTTTGGGGGGTTTTTTTGATGGGTCTTGTAGTTGGTTTTTCCAAGAGCATCGAAGACTATCTTTCTCTTGGCTCAGCTTGCCTATTGCCAACAAGCATCACCGGGTTCCTGGAAGTGCGATGTCAGAACGATGAAACCCAACCAGAAGTATTTTAACCCCGCGTTAGTTGCTGTCTAGGAGGTGAGCTAGCTGACAAACAAGATCGGTCTAACTTTTCTAAAGCCAAATTTCCCATGTAAGCCGCAGTTTCTATCTTGAGCCCATCATCATTTTCTGCCCCCGCCCCGCCCCCAAATCTGCCAGTTCTTCAGGATGCAAACATTCACCCGGAAAATGACTAAGAATCGAGCCTTAACTTCAGATTAACTTGGGAGAATCAGGAAAATTTCTTAAACTGCATCACAGCCTCTCTAGCCAGGGCTAGAAAGGAGGTTTCCGGATTTCCCCGAGTCTCCCCAGTTACCCCTAAGGTAGGACTTTTTAAAATTGTGTCGCCACCACTTCCAAAAAATTTAGCAATATTGGAAGAAAATGCGAATAAAGTAAAAAAGTTGCTTGCTGTTTTGGAAACCAAATACTCCATTTAAACACAAACCAGTGTTGGGAAACACTAAGATTCCAGTAAATAAAACTACAGGAGCTCCCCTCTCCCCAATGGGGGTTTTCTGTTAACGGGGGAAGTTCTAAATGTTGTAAATTTGAGGAGTGGTAGGCTGCATCTTGCACGTGGGTTTGTGTTTTTCTTTTGGACTCAGTTTCACGTCACCAAATTCTTCATTTATACTTAGGAAAAAACAAGGCCATATGTAAAAAACCCCTCCGATGCCCAAGTGTCTTTCTCCTGCAGCTCCAAACCCAGACTTGCCACTTGGTGTGCACAAACGGTTGAGTCAGCAGGCTAGGGCTCTCTGTCGCCTTGCCACGTAGGAGGCTTTGAATTAGCTGGAAAAGAGTATTTTTCTAATCTATTGCAAGGAATAGCCAAATCTTAGGGCAGAAAGAAGAGTGGTTTCCCTGTGCCCAGCATAGTACAATCAGAACGACGTGGAGAACACAGGGGCAGGTTTGTCAAACACTGTTCTTCCCGCCATGATCTTCCCGTGGTCACTGCCCGCTGAGGGCATGGCCTGCTCCCTCCCGCCTCGCTTCCCCCTCCCTTCTCTATGGCACACAGGACACCAGTCCTCAAGGAAAGGGACTTTTTTCCAATCTTCCCATCGTGCGGGAAAGTGCTAGCCGTGCTTACCTTCGTGGAATGTTTGCAGCTCTCCTGAGAGCCCGTCGCACTTCTTTAGTCAGATCATCGGTTCAAATGCCCTCTGTGCTTCTGAGATAGTCGGTAGACGTTTTCATTGATTGGAGTGACTGGTTTGGGCCTTTCGGTCTGGAAAGGGACCAGAGAGTTGTCAATCTGGTGACGGGAGAAAAGAGCATTGTTTCCCTGCCTGGGGAACATCTAGCGGATGGTGGCCAGCCTCCCAACGTTGTTGAGAGACCACCCCCACGCCCTGAGGGTTTTCCTCAAGGCCTTTCTCAAGGTCTCCTCTCTACAAAGCACAACACTAATGTATGTTTTGTTAGACCTCAGTTCCAGTGCCCCTATTTATTTCAGTAAGAATACACATATCCCCGCAGCTTTTTGTTTGTCGGCTCTATTTTGTTGTCTCTCTCTCTCTCCCTTCACCCCTGTCCTGGTCCACCCCTTTGAAGAATTATGCCAGTGAATCTTAACTCTGCCTATGCTTTTTGGTTTGTGAAGGTAGCGGTGAAGGGCACAAGGACAGCCATGGGGACATTTATGTAAATACGTCTCTCTCTCATCACCACACTGCAGCTGAACAGTGTGTAGTATTTTCCCAGTCAGCTTTGCCATACTGACGTCAATCATTTGAAAGAAATTATTCAGATTTTATTTTTGTATCTGTGGTAACAAAAACATTAACCAAAAGATTATCTGTTTGGAAGCTTCTCCCAACACCCGTGCCCTCCCCCCCTCCCCCCCTCCCCAAGCTATTTGCTCACATTAACAAATTAAAGTGCCTGAAGCATCATTCATTCTTTACCTGTATACTAAAAACCCTGTTGTATTGATTTTTTTATAATAACCCTTTTTACCTCTGTGTAAAAAATATATATACAAGTGTATGATGTACATTTTAAGTTCTTAACTTTTTTTTTATGGTTTCTAATATGTATGACCAATGTAGCCATTGCTTTAAAATGTACCGTGTAAATATAAACACATCCTACGAGATCGCTGACTTCGGGCTGTTTGTCGGGCCAGAGATGGGGCAGTATCGGAGCCTCTGCTGGTGCGGGAGTTCGCGCACACAGGATGGGAAGGGGTTTCTCTTGGAGAAGGATGTGGGGGCACAGGTCTGTGTGTGTGAGGCCCTTCCCGGCGAAGTCATATTCCCAAGGGGAGACTGCAGCTCCTCGGCTCAGCTGCCTCAAGTGAAAGGAATGCTGTATGTCACCACCCGGGGAACACCCCCTCTTCCCAGGCCTGCCTTCCCCCGGCGAGCTCCTCAGAGGGAACAGCTGTACTTCCTCCCAGTTGTTTTCCACCAATTCCTGCTAAACCGTGTGCGTGCGTGTGTGTGTGCGTGTGTGTGTGTGTGTGTAAGACAGTTTCTACCAAAAACAATTGTTAAAACGGCAAGACCCTTGGTCTCCTCACAATACTTTTCTGCTCAGTGACATCTGGACCACTTTCCCTTCCAAACGGGCTCTTTGGATGCTCAGAAGTTACAGTGGCAATCCTGAGCAGATAAGGTGTGGGGTCTCTTTAGGGGTCACAGAGGAAAGTTTTGGCTCCTTTAGAGAACTGAGAAGGGCCTTAAAAAGATGTATAGAGGGGCCCCTCCATCTTAGTTTTAACTCCTGCAGGGAGGAATGACTTCTAGGCCACTGGCCAAGGTGAAAAGAAACAGGAGATGCTGGAAGGTAGAAAGCGAGAGGTAAGCAAGAGATTACTGGAGAACTTGAAAGCTACATTTCATTAGAGTAGGAGATGCATCAACCAGATTATAGTGGGGTGAAGAGTCAACATGGAGGAAGTAGGAACATCAAATGTAAAACTTTTATTTTGATAGTAAAGGAATAATGGGATTGCTCTGAAATAGAATTAGTGGATTAAAAAAAATATATCTACCAGAACAATTTACTTATGACCATCCTGAATAAATTGTTCTGATTTAGAGAGAGAGAGAGAGAGAGAGAGAGAGAGAGAGAGAGAGAGAGAGAGAGAAAGAGAGAACTTGGAAGGCACCTCCAGAACTGCAGTGGGGAAGGAGTCCTAAAATCTTCCTTGATCCCCATGGACCCCCCCTCTCCCCCCCCCCCGCCCCCCAAGGTATTTCCCTCCTGCTACCTCTGTTTCCGGTCGAGGGACGGAAGCTTAGCAAGGGTCAGTAACTAAGGTGACCATGCAATCACATGAGGCAAGGACTGAACCAGGCCTCAGCTCAGGTGACTGCAGAGCCCCTTCCAGGCCTCGCTCTGATACTTGCCTCCCTTCCTGCTTTGAGGCTTGAAAAGCAGACACCAGTCAAGAGCCTCACCCTGTCTGCCCTGTTCCCTCAGGCCCCTCAGGCTGCCTCTGGAATAGCCCATCGTGTTTGGTGCCCTTTGTGCTCAGCCAGGAGCTGGGCACGTCGTCTCCTTTAACCTTCTGCAGAGGAGCTGGTGTCTTTCCATGTTACAGGTGAGGAATCAGGTGTAGAGAAACTACATGAATTCGATCAAAGTCACTGGACAGTCTGTCATTACTAGCAAAACCATTTTTGAGCCTGTTTCCTCAGATGTAACAAGTGGAATTATACCTGCCCTCCGCACAACACAAAGGTTAATGATGTGCTGTAGTGAGAATATAGTCCACAGGATACACTTCCAAATGCTAATTCCTCCCTCAGTTCCCCCTTTTCTCTTGAAGCACAGGAGGCTGAATCCATTGTGAATATTTTATACTTATTTAGGCCTACAACTTACATGTTGAGATTTTTTAACCTCTGCAATTCTAAATTAGGTTTTGGTTCCTTGCTGCCCCTCCCAGATATGTTAAGTGAGAACTGCAGAAGTGTACCAGGCTGGCTGGAGCCCTCAGGAGCAATGAGGGACAAGAAGGGCATTACATAAGGATAAAGCTGTCAACCCAAGAGAATATAATATTTTGTAAATAATTATGCACTCAACATAGAGACACCTAAATATATAAAGCAAATATCAACAGACCTAAAGGGAGAAATAGACAACTGTATAATAGTAGGGGACTTTAATACCTCCCTTTCATCGATGGGTTGATCATTCAGTGAGAAAATCAATATGGAACCAGTAGTCTTAAATGATACAGTAGATCAGATGAACCTAACAGATATATAGAACATTCCATTCAAAAGCAACAGAATACACATTTTTCTCAAGCGCATATAGAACATTCTTCAGGATATGTCATATATTAGGTCACAGAACAAGTCTTAATAAATGCAAGATTGAAATCATATCAAGCATCTTTCGCAACTACAATGATATTAAACTAGAAGTCAATTACAAGAAAATAAAAATTCTCAAATATGTGAAGGTTAAACATCATTTTACTGAACTAATGAGTCAAAGAAGATATCAAAAGAGAAATTAAAAAATACCTGGAGACTAATGAGAATGGAAATATAACATACCCAAACTTACGGGATGCAGCAAAAGCAGTTCCAGGAGGGAAGTTTATACACATAAGTACTGACATTAAGAAACAAGAAAGATCTCCAATGAACAACATAATTTTCTACCTCAAGGAACTAGAAAAAGATCAAACTAAGCCCAAATCAGTATAAGGAAGGAAATAACAAGGATCAGAGCAGAAATAAATGATATAGAGACTAAAATGACTACTTAAAAAGAACAATGAAACTAATAGCTTTAAAAAAAAAAAGATAAGCAAAATGGACAAACCTTACCTATATTCACCAAGAACAAAAGAGAGGACTCAAAATCATAAATGAAAGAGGAGACGTTACAACTGATGCCGTGTATATATATAAAAGCCTAAGTGACTTTTACAGCTGGAGGACTAGCCGATAGCTATGACGTTCACTGACCACGGCGCAGACACTCAACGCAGGAGCTTCCCCCTGGTGTCAGTGTGCTCCCACAGCTAACCTCCCGTGATCCCTCCCCCTGGCCAGCTGGCCCCAATTGGCCCTGATCACCAGCCAGGCCAAGGGATGACGCCACCCATGCACGAATTCGTGCACTGGGCCTCTAGTAGAAATATAAAGGATCAGAGGAAACCACCATGAACAATTATATGCCAGCAAATTGGACAACCTACAAGAACTGGATAAATTCCTAGAAACATAAAACCTATCGATAAAGACTGAATCAGGATGGAAAGGAAAATCTTAACAGACTTATAAGAAATTGAATCAGTAATCAAAAAAACCTCCCAAGATGCAAACAAAAGTCCAGGACCATATGGCTTCACTGCTGAATTCTAAACATTACAAGAAAATTCTCACCGAAACCGGTTTGGCTCAGTGGATAGAGCGTCGGCCTGCGGACTGAAAGGTCCCAGGTTCGATTCCGGTCAAGGGCATGTACCAGGGTTGCGGGCACATCCCCGGTGGGGGATGTGCAGGAGGCGGCTGGTCGATGTTTCTCTCTCATCGATGTTTCTGACTCTCTATCTCTCTCCCTTCCTCTCTGTAAAAAATCAATAAAATATATTTTAAAAAAAAGAGAAAATTCTCAATTTAAAATATTAGCAAACCAAATTCAACAATACATTAAAAGGATCATACATCATAATCAAGTGGTATTTATTCCAGGAATGCAAGTATGTCTCAACATGAGCAAAGCAATGTGATACACCACATTAACAACATGAAGGATAAAAATCATATGATCATCTCAATAGGTGCAGAAAAAGCATTTGACAAAATTCAATATCCATTCATGATAAAAACTCTCAACAAAGTGGATATAGAGGAAACAAAACTTAGCATAATAAAAGCCGTATATGATAAGCCCACAGCTAACATCATACTCAATGGTGAGAAGATGAAAGCTTTTCCTTTAAGATCATGAACAAAACAACGATGTACACTCTCACTGCTTTTAATCAACATAAAATCCTAGCCAGAGCAATTAGGCAGGAAAAAGAAAGAAGAGGCATACAAATTGGAAAGGAAAAAGTAAAACTGTCACTATTTGCAGATTATATATAATTTCCCTAAAGCCTCCACCAAAATACTGTTATAACTAATAAAAAAAATTCAGTTAAGTTGCAGGATATAAAAATCAATATATGAAAATCTGTTGTGTTTCTATACACTAACGAAGAGCTAGAAAAGACATGAAGAAAATCCCATTTACAATTGCACCAATAAGAATAAAATTTAATCAGAGGTAAAAGACCTGTACAAATAAAAACTGTAAGACATTGATGAAAGAAACTGAAGACACAAATAAATGGAAAAATATTTTGTGCTCACAGATTGGAAAAATTAATATTTGTGTTAAACTGCCCTACTACCTGAAGCACTCTACAGATTCAGTGCAACTTCATCAAAATTCCAATGTCTGTTTCCACAGAAATAGAGCAAACGATTCTAAAATGTATTTGGGACCACAAAATATCCTGAATAGCCAGAGCAACCTTGGGAAAGAAGAACAAAGCTGGAGGTATCACACTTCCTGATTTCAAACTATATTGTAATGCTATTGTAATCAAAACAGTATGGTATTGGCATAAAAACATACATAAATCAATGCAACAGAATGGAGAACCCAGAAATAAACCCATACATATGGTACATTAATTTACAATAAAGGATATACAATGGGAAAAGGTGGTCTTTGGTATAAATGGTGTTAGAAAAACTGGACAGATGCAAAAGAATAAAAGAATACTCATATGATTAATAAAACTGGGCCACTATCTTATACCATATACAAAATTTAACTCAAAATGGATTAAATACTTGAAGGTAAGACCTGAAACCATAAAACTCCTAGAAGAAAACTGGCATTAAGCTCCTTGACATCGATCTTGCTGATGATACTTTTGGCAACAAAGGCAAAAATAAACAAGTGGGACTACATCAAACTAAAAGCTTCTGCACAGCAAAGGAAACCAGCAGCAAAATAAAAAGGCAACCTACTGAACGGGAGGAAATAACTTGCAAATCATATATCTGCTAAGGGGTTAATATCCAAAATATATAAAGAACTCATACAATTCAATAATAAAAACACAAG